GCCGCCCGCGCCGTAGGCCCCCGCCCCCGCCCCCGCCCAGGGCCCCACTGCAGGGCCAAGCCCCTGCTGGGCAAGGGAGGGGGCAGGGCTGCTTGGCTAAGCTGGAGGGGTGGCAGGTCTCAGCCCCAGGGGGGCGGCGGGGCCTGACTGGACTCTGTTGCAGCGGTTGTCACCACCACGGCCACCACTGTGGTGCACGCCCCCTACCCTCAGCCTGTGAGCGTGCCACCCAGCTACCCGGGGCCGACCTACCAGGGCTACCACCCCATGCCCCACCCAGGCATGCCAGCAGCACCCTACCCGACGCAGTACCCACCGCCCTACCCGGCCCAGCCCGTGGGCCCCCCGGCCTACCACGAGACCGTGGCTGGTGAGTATCCCTCTGGCTCCCTGGCCCTCTCCAGCCCCGTGGGCAGCCCCTCCAGAGACCGCTGCCCGACACGCGGCCCACCTGCCACAGCCAACCGGCATCCTCTCTCTTTTCAGGAGGTGCGGCCGCACCCTACCCTGCCAGCCAGCCTCCTTACAACCCGGCCTACATGGACCCCCCGAAGGCAGCCCCCTGAGCGGGCCCCTGCCCGGATGCCGTGCGCGTGCGTGTGCGTGAGTGCGCGTGCTCTCCTGCACTGACAGGGCGGGAAGGGTCCTCGCCGGAGCAGGCCGGGACCAGCGTTCTCTTCCTCACTTAAAACTTGGCCGTCTCCAGCAGACTCTCGGGTGGGAGTCCTGGCCCAGCTCAGGCCTGTCACACCAGGCTGGCTAGCACAGCTTTCTGTGGGCACGATGCATGTCCTGGTGTCAGCCAAGTAGCCACCTCTGCTCCCGGCCGTGGCTCGTCCCGGGTCTTGGGGTGCCCCTCAGCCGGGCCATGCAGCAGCCCTGCAGGTGGAGCTTAGGTCTGCCCAGAGCCTCAGCCTTCAGGCAGATGCCCTGCTACTCCTGGTAGCCATGCCCCATGGGGTCTGTCTTCCTTCGGGCAAGGCCTCAGCCAGACCCCGCACCTGCCCGCCCACAGCTGTCTGCCCGCCTTCCTCCTGGGGCCACCCAGACCACATCCGCTTTCCTTCTAGATGCCCACAGGAGATGCCTGCCCTTGCTGGCCCTGAACCTGCTGCAGGTGGGCAGGGCGGCCTCTGTCCACCGACACACTCAGGTCTCCTCCCTGCAGTGTTTTTAGCCAAACATTTGGTCTGTTCTGTTTAAAATGCGTGTGATGGTTGATGTGAGGCTGAAACCCCAATCCAAGCTGTTAGTCCCCGCTTCCCTGAAGCCCAGGCTCACGGATGTCCGCTCCCTGTACCCCAGGATCGCCTGGGCCACAGCGTCTGGACCGGGGTGTGGGGCAGCTCTGGCCGGCGCGAAGACCTTGGTGTTCCCTGTTGCCCTGTCCGTCTCCCAGCTGGTAGCTTTGCGTCTGTCGGTGTGTGTGCGGCTCGGGTCTGCAGAGTTTATAATAAACGCAAACATTTGGAGCCGTTGCTGTCTTCATGGCGGGCTGCTGGGATCGGCACAGCCTGGGTACCGTTTCCACCCACTTTCCTTTCTGCCTACTTGTACCGGGCGCGGATGTCTGACCATCCTGCTCAGGAGAGTGAGGGACCAAGACCATGCCCTGTGCCATGCTCCCTCCCCCGTCCCCAAGTGTGAGCAGAGCCCCAGGCCCAGGCTGCTAAGGACGGTAGGAGTGACCGCTCAGTGCTCTGGGGGCCTTTATTGGTTTTCTCCTCGGCTACTGCCCAGGTGTGGCCAGCGAGAGTCCATACAGCGTGGCTATTGCCAAGGTCAGGAAGGCCAGTAGACCCAGGGGGGCTAGCAGGCCCTCCCTGGGTGGGGCTCCTGGGCCTGTTGCTGGAGGGGACTTGGATCTCCTGCTCCTGTCTCGGCTGGGACCAGTGCTGCTGGCTTCGCCCAGGGGTGCAGTGGCCGTGACAGCAGATGGCCTTGGGTCAGTCTGAGTAGAGGCTGCGACCTCGTACATGGGCTTGACAGTGCTAAAGGGCCGGGCATGGGCATCCAGCCACTGCAGCAGGGCTTGGGGTTTCCACTGGCAGACGCTGAGCAGGGCCAGCACGTCGCCCTCAGCAGTGTGGGAGTCCGGCGGGGCCTGGCCGTACAGCCGGGTGTAGACGCTACCCAGGCTGTAGCTCTTCCGTTGCCCCCGCTCCGAGGGACTGCTGGCTCGCTCCAGAGCCTTCAGGGCAGCGATGCTGTCCGCACAGAAGGCGCCGTCCAGCGTGCTGGCAGGGCCCAGCATAGCCAGCTCTGCCTGGAGCAGGGGGAAGTCGTAGCGGTCCCCGTTGTGGGCCACGAGGCACCAGGGCTGTGGCTGGCGCCTCAGGAAGGCTAGGAGCAGGTGGGCCAGGTTGCTGTCGAAGCGCTGGCGCCCGTGCGCCTCCAGCACAGCTGTGCTCAGGCCTGTGATCTCGCTGGCTGCAGGGCTGCAAGCCTTCCCGGGAGCCACGCACAGGGAGAGCTTGTCCACCACTCGGGGTGGCAGGGGCACCGTGTAAGGTGGCCTCGGGGAGGTGGGGGTGCTCTCCAGGGCGTGTCTGTGCACGGCCAGCAGGCACAGCTCCGTGATCCTGGGCTGGGAGAACGGCAGCCCGGTGGCCTCCAGGTCCAAGAAGATGAAGGTCTGCATGGGCCCCGGGGACGGGGCTTGGGAGCCCATGTGGGGGCACGTGAGTGCACAGTAGCAAGATCTGGGGGGTGCAGGCAGAAGCACATCTTAGACCTGCCCTGAGCTCAGGGCCCGTTTTCAGGGCAGGAAGTTGGAGAGGACAGGGTCTCTTCCCTGAGAAACACGTGCTACTGTCTGGCTTGGAGGGTCCCTCGTCACATGGCTTGCTCCCGCCCCCCAGTGCCCACCTGGGCTGGGGATCCCCGCTCGGCCCCATCCCTGGGAATCGACACTTACCGAGCTGGCAGGCAGCAAAGGTTGGGGTGCACTCCCTGCTGTCTCTATGGCCGCCGAGAAGTGAAACTCAGTCAGGCCGCCCGCCCCACGCCGGCCACGTGAGCAAGGCCCGCCCAGTTTGGCAGCCTGGCCTGCCCCGCCCTCCCCAGCCGGCC